TGTCACAAAAGTATTAGGTTTCCGAATTCCCAACAACAGTTAAACACCCTCAAAAAGTCTATATTCAGTGCCGGGGTTTTGTTTTAATATTCACGAGCGTAAATAACCTAGTACCCCGATAAAAACGGAAGGAATATTCACTATTCCCGCCAAAAAGAATATTTACAATTAAACTTTTAACAGGTTATTTACAATAAGCAGATTCCCCCAGAATTATTCATTGTCCTGACGTCGGAATCTTAAAACCTTCTTATTTTTACAATGACTTTTATTAATTTTCTAGTAGGAATTCAAGCGTCGTCACTACTCCATGAAATTCTCTTTCTTTAGATACCTCATTCATCAAAATATATCAGTCCATCACTCCTGGCGGGATCTCTACAACCGTATTATACATATAGTAGATAATAAAAGGTGTGGAAAAGAAAAGAAAGAGAAATGAGACAAAAAGGTTGAAAACATATGACCTGCCATTTCCTTTTTAATAAGCTAATATAGAATTTCTTTTGTGTAATATGCTTTTGGCTCTAACAAGGGGTAAAAATAATTTCTTTTCGAGAAACCCTCGATCGAAATGATTGTAAATTTAAACTTTTGGACAATTTCCCATATGACTCATCACCATTCCAATTGACTTACACACACACACACAAAAAATTCGAACCAAACTTTGTTATTCGAACCCGAAGGGGATATGTCAGAGTAGGAAAATAAAGAAAAATGGAAAATAAGGATGTATAGAATGATATTTAAAAATATGTTAATATACGAATATTTGCTGATTCTAATGATGATGAACCACTTCTACTTCGGCCAATATTATTAAACTCTTTATTTTTTTTTTTATTTCCATTAGAACGACTAAAAACCATGTAAAGCAATACCTTCAAAAATATTTTTGACATGAGTGGTGCCTGTTTCATATCAACAGAATGGATAATTATTGTTTTGATGTGACATTGGATAATTATTGTTAATATGAAGGTCCATTGAGAATGTAATATGCGAAATACGGAATTAACATTAAATTAAATTATTATTAACTTCCGAGTTGAGCTTTGGGGCTCCACCAAACCATCGAATTCCTATCGTATCCAATCCTTACAATCCAAAATCCTCCGTAAAATCCTCAATGCTCCATACTTTGTCACAAATAAAACCATTCATAAAGACCTTAATGTACCATATGTCGCTGATTTAGCTCGAGCCAGATATCTATCCTTTCATGATAAACTTCAGTCCCATCCAAATCCGCTTGTTTCCACTCTTGCTTCTTTCTCGATTCCTGATGATCCTCCTAGGCGTCTGAAAAGGAGATGGCCTTGTGATCTTCTTACTTAAAATTATTTAGAGAGTGCTACCACTGGGTAGTAACTCTTCAAGCCTGTACATGCCATTATTTATATTTGCGCATATTTACTTGTTGTATTTGTATACAGTTGTAAATTCCATTAAATAAACAAAAAAAAATTATTAACTTCCATGATTAACGAAATTAACGAAAAAAGGGTAGATTGGCCAACTGATTTTTATTCTCACCACCAATAGTTTCAGAGTCCCAACTTGTCTCTACACGACATCATACACGTTGCTATTACGAAGTGTGAAATAGATTTACAGAAGCTTGATTGTTTTAGAGAAGTCAATGTTTTCTTCCATAAAATTCGAAAATTAAGCAATCCATCCATTTTTGGTGGCATTTTTATTATTTTAATATAGAGCTCCATATAGCAGCCATTTACACTAATATCTCAGCCATACACTATATACTATATACTAATACAGTCATTACACCCCGAGACGTTCTCGTGTATCTCACTACTACGCCGAGTTAGGGTGGCTCTTCCCCTCCTTCAGAAGACAATATTTTCTAGGTACATTCCTCTACCAAATAATCCATAATCATCGTCCGTCCTACGCATTCAATCTCCTTCAATTCAAGTCATCTATCCACTCCCTCTCCACAAGATCACGTCCTTCTGATCTTTATACCCCTTTCCACAAATCTGCGTCCTTTCAACACTCCTTTATGGTCCGCTCCACTACCTTTTGGAATTACATTCCACTTAAAATCCGCCATGCACAATCCCTATCCATATTTAAAACCCTCCTATTCCAATTCCTCCTTACAATTCAATCAGACGCTGGGTAGCCATTTATCATGTAAAAAATGCATTTTTCTCTATTTATCATTTGTATATAAATATATATTCTTTTTTGAGCATGGAACATATGTCTAGTCACGTTCTGTAATGTAAATGTAATAAGGTAAATAATTTTGCTATCACTTAGTTTTTAGTTATTTTTTTTTTTATTGTAATATTTATTTTGGCCAAATGGAATGTTATGTTTTATGTACAAAATTGTTATTCTTAAGGGACTTTGTCCCAGAATAAAATTGATTCTTCTATTATATTATATTCTATCTGCTTTGGGTCTGGTTCGTCAACATTATACATTAAATAAGATTATATTTAACAAGGTTATACATTACATTTATACATATTAAACCAATTTAAATATTAATGTTTTATTTAAAATATAAAGACAGAGAAAAATTAGAGAACATCTAATAGAGAAAAAAAATATTCAAATGTTAAATTTGTTTTATTTTTATAACATTGATTGTAGTTCCTATATAATGGTTTCCAATACAAAAACCTTATTTCTCTTTGTTATTCAGTTTTTATTTCATTTTATTTTTTTGTTTTTAACTGTCCCAACCATTTTTTTTATTTCTGTTTTGTTACAATTTCTAGCATAAGAAATGGTGGGAGGTTGTTCTAAAAGAAAAACTAAACCTATTCTAACCAGAGAGGAAAAATCCACAGCGTAAATTGTCCAATGTTTTGTTAAATATTGTATAGTCTCGATTTATTGATGCAGTTAAACTTCTGATACATCTTAAAACGTTTATGATAATTGTTAATAACTTCATCTTCTCTTATAATTGGAACTTCACTTCGAAGTACCATGTTCCAATCGGCACAGCCATATGATATTCAAAGTTCAAATTACTCGAGTTAAATTAAAATAAATTCATTTATTTTCTAACCCAACAGTTTTCTGTTGTAATTTGTAATTATAATTGTAATCATTTGTAATTATTTCGATGAAAACCCACGAGCTTACAGGTGGTTCACAATCACTTTCACCTGGAGTGCCTAATGCATCCGGGTTTACCCGAAAGACTGCGTTTCATGAACAAGTGTGATAGAAGTGATTGTGAACCATGCGAAACCAGTGGATTCTCATCTAAATAATTAATCAATCGCTTAACATTTAGTTTCAACATTCTACATACACATAACAATAATGTAGTAATTTAATATGCAGTAAAATATTCAAAATTTCGAAATGTATTTTATTTTTAAACATCAGAAAAACATTTCAATTCCTTTCTCAAATTGTTTAAAAATTATGATTTATTTGTAGATACAGTTTTACTTCAGATATATAGAAAATATAAAACAAATAGAAAGATGCGCATAGTTACAAACCTCAAACTTCAGAAAATACTAACAAAAGTATACATATAAGTATTATTACGAAATGAATTGGTTCACAGCAGACTATAGCGTGAGGGCGAAGTACAATTTTCGAACTGGCACAAACATGTACAGTCCAAAGTTTAAACAATGATTTCGTAGAGAATATTTTAATTTATATTTATTCTCTCTACTAATAGTTCATAGAAGGATTGTTAAATATTTATGTACATTCTATTAATTTTATAATTTCATTCACTGAGTTATGGTTAATTTAAAAGTAAATATTAATTAAATTCGTCAGTACCTTATTTTGTAATAACTGAGAAGCTCTCTCGCTACATTTTCAAAGATTTTTAAATTCTTAAGTTCTTATTAACAGCAATATACTTCAGTTATATTTAACTTACTACGATTGTTACGGAGCGCATCGGTACCCAGCTGACACTAGAATGAGGTGACGATGCCAGTGTTACCACCCCTCAATAATAAATAATATTATCATAATTGTTTTCAAATATCGTCAATTCTTTTACCCTAGCTTATTGAAAAATCGTTTAATTGCATATAAATCGTATGTTTAAAGATTCTTTTACAAATATAATTAGTGAAGAATATGAAATTAACTCAAGTAGTACAAACATCGATGTTATATCTGTGAATCCACATCAAAATGATAAAAGAATATTAATATTTGTAAGATGGTAAAACTATAGTAATTTTAAAAGGTTTATAACTTTAACAATACACGAGGAAGTACCTTAATTCAGTGTTGAACACATCGTTCTAAGCTGGGCGAAAAGATGTCGCCGATGAGTTCAGCGCTGATTTTAGGAACTTGGCCATATATTTTTTCCCATTATTTTCTCTTACATTCCATATAATGGTGGTGGGAGGAGGAAAGGTTTTACCACTATCTTTCATTAATTTATTGTAAAGTTAATTTTATTAATTTGGTTAGACTTTACTTTATTTAAATGAATAAAACATCTAAACATACTTGTTCTGTAACATTTTACTAAGATATCAATTAACATAATAAATAGCAATAAGCTAATACGGCAAGACTCTTGCGCAAGACCAAGACCAAGACTGATTCGTTCTCGCTTTAGTCTTGCATTTGGGCAACACTAGTGTCATGATATCACTTGAGGTTCAGGCATTGCCCTCTTTGGTTTTCTACCTTCAAATCTATTCGTATTTGCACTCTGTTTAGGGTATATAAAGCTTATTACTTGTTAATGATTTGACAACTGTCTATTACTGGTTCAGTGTCTATTACTAGTACATTTGCCATAGGTTCGAACCAAGTTCCTAAGTCAAAAGTTTTGTTCTTTCGCATTTCTCTGTATATTCCCAGTTTGAGTAATCATTCACTGGACTACCTGTTTCTCTACAAGTAATTTTTATACTAAAATGATCTGGATATTGATTAGTATATTAACTACAGTTCTCCTGACACATTTTTTTTTAAATTTTATTCCAGACAGTGTACAGCCCGCTTAGACTGAAATGCATGCTGGACAGGAGGTACCGAGTGGGCCGGACAATGGAGCGGTGACCAATGAAATGGACTTATCTGATGAGAGATTGTTCCCAGCGGGCAGCGCAAATAACCCAGGACTAAGCAGCTGCCTCGTTAGTTACCATCATCAGTCTGCTCTACGCAACATCTCTGATTGTCTCTCCCATTACCTCAGCCATATTTTATTTATTCCCTTTTAATCCACTTCATAATGGTTCTCTGTTATTCCTGTATATTCATTATTTTTTAATAGCATATTTTGGATTATAAAAAGTTTTTACATTAGTAGGCAATTTTTATCTCCAATTAAATTATCAGAAGACAGGGGGTATAATAGAGGAAATAATTTAAAATTCACTAATGGTCAAACAAGGAATTGAGAGTTATAATATTTTATGCGAGAACGTCCGTGAGTAGGTTTGAAAAAAAGAATTATCTAGCTTAACTAACAGCGACATTATTGCTACACCAACCTATGTATTTTATTTATCTTGATACAGACATCAGATGGAAAATATCAAAAACAGGAAACAAAAATACTAGCATAGTGAAATAACCATTTATATATTTTTCTTTCCCATAGTTTGTGAAATGTCTAAACGCGCCTTTAGATTTTTAAGTTGCATCAAGTGGTAGTAGAAGGTTTTTTTTTTTCTTATATGAAATGTGACTGAGATTGCAAAATCCAAATTTTCGAACTCGATGAACACCACTCCCACGGATCACTTTTTAATACACAAAAAACTGCTAAATGTTATTACCTTTATCGATTTTCCCTCATGAAAGGGCACATTTTCTACAAAAAAAAAAAACATTTCGTACATTTTTAAACTAAATTATATTAACTATAATTTGATAACGTAATAGGCTTAAAATTATGTAGCTTTTCCAAACTTGGATATTTTAAGCTAAAATAATTTCCATGCTTTATCATACGCAGTTGTCTTTATATCTTTAATAACAAGTCCGAAACGATTCATTGAAACATTTATTCAATTTAACATTTTGAAAGGCCCCCAAGGCCGATGGCACACGAACCTCCCATCCGCCCCACTCCCTCCCTTTCCAAGATATATTTTGCTCTTCTCTTCCTAAAAACAATGCAAACGAAAACAGAATTTAAAAAATCGTAGATCATATGCAATTACACTTGATGCTGTCTGTTTCATGTTTCCCCCTTCTCCCTTGGTTTGAAACTTTTCTTTCCAAAATTAATAACCCCGTCAAAGTGTGCCCCTCTCCAAAATTCAAAACCCCCTTAAATTTTGTCCCTTCAAAAATTTTGATGGCGTAACTTGTGCCATGAAACTCCCTTTTGGGCACACCTGAGAAGGGGGGGGGAGAAGAGGAGGGAGGTTTGGTGGATGAGGAGGAGTTCACAACCAAATGACGAAATTTTATTTACATCAAGTTTATACATAAAGTGTAAATAAAGTGAATGAAAGTGTAAACAAAGTTAATTAAAGGTGTTTCATTTGATTGGAAGGACCAGAACCTACTAAATCCGCCAATCCCCTCCTTCAGTCCCATATTCATCCTGAACTGAAGTGCACTCTCAATCATATCCTTTATTATTGAATTCTAACTTAATTCAAATTTACACTTGTTTTGTAATATTCAATTCTCATTTTACAAGTACTTATTATGTCTATATACATAGTTCCAATTTCACCAACAACCGATGAATTTCCAATCTCTAGCCAAATTGTAATTTTTTAAAAACAGCCTCTTCGACTGATGTTATGAATAATTATCTCTACTTGACAACTTGTGCAAGAATGTGTAAGAAATATATATATTTTTAACAAGTGTATTGAATGATAATACAATCTGCTCCATTGAAGGGCAGCAAGTATTAGGGCTTCAAGTGTTCATTGGTACAAAAGAGAAATAAATTAAAATAATAAATAAATAACAAAATTTTTCTATGCCATTTTCCTTCTTTTTTTTTTTTTTTACTTTCACCATTTTTTTTTTCATGGTTATGTGTAGATGAACTGTATAATAAATGAACCAATTAAAAATATAATCAACAACGAAACGAAGTAGCCAGAAAAAATGGTGGGTCATTATTTCCTAACCAGTTTCTTTCAAAATTTGAAATAATAAATATCCTCTTACTGTTAATTTCTTTTTTTTTCAAAAATTCGCTTTTATTTGCTAATTTATTTTAATTTTTTTCAGGTAGGGAGTGAGGGTAGCCCACCTACCACTCCCTTGGATGAGTAAAGGATGGAAATGTATATATTGAAGTCACAGCTTGCAGATCTGTTTCAAATGGTGTTAAATAATATCGTTCCGGCAATATGTCTGTACACACAGATTTTTAATTCAATAAGCTTTGGATCTCAGTGGCTCATTTAGCCTCAGTCTCAAAATTATTATAATAAACTTTAATAAAATAATAGTTAATAATTCTCCCTATGGGCCCTTCTTCCTCCAATCTTTTCCAGATTTATGTATTTCTTCATACACTCAATTTCTATTTTTTTTTTTTTTTTTTTTGTACTTGCAAAACTGTTCGAATTTTGATATGTGATTAATTGAGCATTTTTTTTTAATACTTGCAAACTTTTTTAAATCGAAAAATATAATTTAATGCAAATTTCGCAGCCCCACCACCTATTATAAAAGGCCTGTATAAAATTTTCACTGCTGAGGAATAAGGAATACATGTCTTAAGAATATATGTCTTAATAAGAAAAATATGTCTTAAGAAAATTGACATTTATTTCATAGAATAAATTCAATTGATAACCTACCCATCTCATACTATTGTAGTATATAAAGTTATTAGCAAAGGAGATTCTTTCTCCCCTTGGCTCATCCAAAAAGTTCTACAACTAGCACCTCTTTTGTATGTTCTTGTAACAATCATTAGAATTTTTATGAACTATTCTAAAAAAAAAAAAGTCATAAAATGAACAAACAAAATGAGTCATCCAATAACACCTAATTGGGTTTTGTTTTAGATCTTTCTTTGCTTCAATTATTAGTAAATAATTTTGAAAAGAATGAAACAAAGCCTGAATTTAATCAGACATTATTCAAATTCAAAATGTAGATTATTTTTCAATTTATTAGTATCATTTTATGTAAATTGTTATTAAATAATCTATTTAGCGATTATGTAATAGTGGATCATTATTTAAACATGTATTTTAAATGATTATTTACCATTAAACATTTGAAAAAAAATCTCAAATTTTCCTTATTTTAAATAGTTAAATATCTAATTGCATTCATAAAGAAACTGATCTTACGTTTTCATTATAAGGGTTGAACCAACAAATAATACATAAAACAAAAAAGTGAGAATGATATATATCAAAACAAAAAAAATTATTCTTTAGAGAAAGATTGAGATAAAATTGATATACTCATATACTGAGGATGAATGAAAGGAGGTAGGTAATAAAGTATGGAGGGAATAGTTGGAAGAGATTGCCATGAGGGAATATGCTAGTAGATGCTTATAGCTTAGGAACACAACAATTAAATACTAAGAAGAAACTTACTGATGCAGTTTAAGCTAAAAACAAAAATTTAATAGTTGCAATGTTGATGTTTTACTCTTTTGATTCATAAGTTTATTGACCACTGACTTACCGCAACAGTAATGCTTATTTTACAAACAATAAACATATTTAAAAATAATAATTTTATTATCTGATCCCTTGGTGGGTGTAAAAGACTCAGAAATGGGAGTAAAATTCAAATAATTTTAGAGGAAAACGTTTTTGAAGGCATTTTCTGGATACAATTTTTGACTAATTTGTTTAATTTTTATATATAATTAATCAATGATGTTTTTTCAACTTTCTTCAACAAGCCATAGATAGAAAAAACAGCTGATTATCAATAGTTCTGGATCAACACTATATGGGGACATTGGAATTGAAATATGTACAAGATGTGTTTCATTGAAGGATCCGAAGTTTTTGACCAGAAAAATTTCTTATAATTATTGACTTTAGTAAGCAGTTATCGAGTATCCTTCTTCTTTTGTACGTGTACATTCTCAGAAGTCCACAGGTTCAAAAAGTCACAATGGATAAGATGAGAAACAATATGAAAAAAATCAAGTAAATTACAGTGCTTTCAACTTCATTGATCAGAAGAATACTGGAGAACTTTTTTTTTTTTTTATTCTGACTAATTCTTGTCAAAGCAGGCCATAATATACCAATAAAAATATTTTAATAATTGTCACTGTAACATTCTTTGATGTTTTAAACTGGTTGTTTATGGAATATTTTTTGGATATGTGATTATTGAGTGTAACTAACTCTCTTGAAGAACTTGAACTACTAATAGTTAAAAACTGAAGTAACAGCAGTTTCATGAGAACAAAAGGCAACTTTTATTATATAAGCTCTTTTATGTTGTTTAAAAAGTACAGTAGATTATGGGCATTATTTTAATTCATTCAACGAAAACAGTTAAGTACATCATCCATAGTTTGCGATCCTAAACTAATTCTTCTTCGTTTTTCAAATATTTTGCACTTGAAGACAATGTGTCTTGGATCCTGCAGGCATTGGCACATTGGACAGTAACTGCTTTTAGCTATAACCATTACATGTAGATATTTGTTGTTAATTTATATTAACCCTGGTCAGCTTTACTGAGCTGGATTGGTCAAGATGAAATTTAAGATTCACTAACTATGGAACCAATGATATCTTCTGTTGAACTGTATGATGGTCCTTGCACAATGAGGCACATTCTTAGTCATAGAAACGCTGCCAGTCTTTCCTTTTTTCCCCCTCACTTCCAGTAAAGGAACCTTAGCATTTATCCATTTATTCATTTCCAGATATTGGAGAACTTTGGATATTTTATTGTACAATTATTGCGTATCATGTTCATAGGTATGTACAATGTAGTTTATGTTTTAGTCATGTGATAATCTTGAAATAAAAATGAAAACATCTAGTAGTCAATATTCACAAGAAAATAAAAAAAAATAACCCTTAAAACACTTCCAACATAATACACATTACATATTTGTTATCTGACTTTTCTTTTCACATAATACATTTTTTAAATTTACTAAACAGGATGAAGAGTTCAGATTTGTTTAATAATTAACTTCATTTTATTTTTACCAGGACTCATTTATTTTTAACAGCATTCACTATCACCAAGCGGGATATCCAGTCTGTTGATCATGTTGCAAAGTTGTCTTGCTTCCTTAAGTGGCTCAGAGTCCAGTGATAGAGACTTCATCCCAGAGGTTCCTTGTAAGTCCTGCAAGTTGTTGGGTAGAGCCTCTTTAGTAGATAGGTAAGCAACATGGCTGTATGCCATTAATTTTTTTTAAGCCTTATTTTGGCAGTTTTCTAGACATCAAGGATACCATTGATTTTCCCAAATTTTCTCTTATTCTCTTTGACTTAGTGGCCCATGATTTGTTCATTATCTTCTCAACATAGCAAAAAAAATTTAATTAAGTTAATAAACTTGAATACTTGAAAATATTTTTTATGATTTTTTTTCCTAATACTATTCTTCCTCAGTTGTTGTATTTAAGCAGCTTTAGGCTTAACTTATTGTGACAGGAATATAATCGTTGTCTGGTCTCTATATTCATCATCTGACATTATATCTTAAAAATAGATACTTATTTTGCTGAACATTAACTTAGTCCAGTCATATCAGTTGAAGTAAACCTACTTTGTTGAGATAAATAAATAACTTTTTTAGAGTTAAAATGTCTTATCCTTGAATAGTAAGTTGATTACATCTATTGGAGAGAACAAAATACTTTTTTTTTTAGTTTTAGTTTTGAAAGTGCATTTTGATAAAATATTTTATTGTTATGCAGGGGTGCCCCAAAGGGGAGTTTATGACACAATATGTCCCATCAAAATTTTTGAGGGGACAAATTTTGGCAGATTTTTTAATTTTTGAGCAGGTATATTTTGCCAGTGTTTATGAATTTTCAAAACGAAAAGTTCCATTCTAAGGGCCAAGGGGAAAACATGGAACAGACCTCAGCAAGTGTAGTTGTATATGATCTATGATTTTTTCAATTCTACCTCCGCTTGCAATTTTTTTAAGAAAAGGTGAGGAATAAAATATCTTAGGAGTGAGAGGAATACATTCTTGCACCATCGACCTTGGGGAAAGGATGGGCATCCATGCCTGTTGCTATGTTACCAGAATAGTGGACTGCTGCTGCTTCCTCTACTGTACAATCAAGAAGAATGGCAAATAGTTTATACATCAGTGTAAGAAGAGAAACTTCAAATTTTTTCTGAAGTTTGTTATACTCATTTGACACTTATTGGGTTTTTATTCACCACAGATGTAGCAGAAGTAGTTTGAACTGGTAAAATTACAAAGATTAAACTTTTTTTTTTTTTCAAAATGCACTTTGAAAACTGAAACTCAAAAAAAGGATTTTTATTAACTTTGGCACATATAAATAACTTAGGTGAATGCATATACTAAATGTGATACCTATGGACTGAGAAAATGAAAATCAAAGCCACATAGCATTAATATTTAATCCAGTTCAATATTAGAAGATGATTATTGAAACCATATTACAATTTCCTTTCTGTCACAAGTTGTGCTTGATGCTGCATACACACACCAAACTGAGGGAGAGTAGTACTGAAAATTAATAATAGTTTAAAGTCGTAGCAAACATTTTCAGTTATTCTAGTTTATCAACTAACATTATAAATTGTCAATTACAAAACTGGCAATACATGCATCGTGGTTTTGCAAAAATTCTGCTTTTTCTAGCACACCAAAAAACATTAAGATCAGCCAAAATTATTACATAAAATTTTAGGTTGTAGTCCTATATAGTAATTATTGGACCTGATATTTATAGTGACACAATAGTAATCAGCAAACCTTATATAATCTGACACTTAAAACAATTAATTAGTAATAGAAATCCAAAATAAATATTATAAATATAGAAGTATTTTATATGGGTATTAACATTTATTTTGAAATGGGAATCTTTTTTATTTTTTTATATCTTCATTACATTTTCTCATTTTAAATTAAGCATTTACCTAAAATGGTAATATTTTTCTATTTTTTTCATTATAAGTAAAAATAAAACAGATCTACATTTCAGTACTTTATTAGTACCATATTCCATTAAATTAAATACAAGACTCCTTTGAATTTAAGGTATGCCATTTTTTTCATTGATGAAGTAGAGAATTTGGTGTAATAAAATATAAATAAACAATAACTTACCCTGATATTTTAAAGGTTCAATAAATAAATTATATAAATCAAATTTTAAACTTAGATGTTAAATTTAAAAATCACTTTTTATGAGAGAAAAAATAGTGTCAATAATTTGATGCAATATGGTAATATTAATATTAAATTGACTAAGCCTTTGGACATTTTAAATGATAAAAGTTATATTTTTTATTTAAAATACAGCGGTGTAAATGATGAAGATAAACTTTGTACTTTCATACAGCAGTTACATTTATAGATATGTTAATGATCTTAAATATAATGGTTTAAACATGTTTCTGTATTGTACAATTTATAACCATGAAATCATCATTAAAAAAAATAAACCTATGACTATCGAAAAATAACTCTAAAGCATCTTTGAACTTAGCATATTTGATTTGATAATATTATATGAAGAAGTTTAAATAATATAGGAAATGTTTTTAATGAATGTGGCTTCAAATGAACTTTTTACTTGTAGAACCAAATCTTTGTAGTTTTTAAGAAAAAAATATTCTTCATAAATTATTATCCAGTTATTCTAATTTTCTTAACTGAGCTGCTGTTTTTTTTTTTTTTTTCAAATAAAAACATATATTTTTGCTTAAAAATCAGAATTTTTTAATAATTTTATAGCCATTATATAAAATAATATCCGACCTGTGACATAAATCTATCCTAGTCTTATAAAAATGCTGCTGTATTTATGAAATATTTCTTATAGAAAAATAAAAACAAATAATAAATTATTACTAAACCACTGCTAACTATAATAAGACATTAAAATCGCTATAGTATTTCAAATACAAATTAATTAAGTAATTAAAATACAAAATATATTTCTTTCTAGTTATTAAAGATTGAGAAAAATAAACATGGACTTCTCATGGGACAAGTAAAGACAGCACTTTATACACATATACTTTATGACTAAAAGATAAATACCTATCTTTAGGTATAAATATAACTTATTTAGTACTAAAAATAGAAACTTGACTAACTATCACTATACAATCACAAATTTATACATCGACATAAGGAACTATATAAATAAAAATGGCTTCAAAAAATTAAGTAAAAATATTCACTGTTCCAAAAATAATACTAATAGAAATAGTAACAAAATAGTGTTTCGGTTTCCTTTTTTATTTATATGGCTCTAAACCTTTTGAGCCATAACGAAATTTGAAATTTATAATTTCAATAAAAATTAAACTTTGATATTACTTAACAAATATAGAAAGATTATTTACTTACATAACTTTCTTCCTAAAAAAATAATTAATATTGTCACACATCATATCACATTATCATAACACACACCAAGGACTGAGGGTGATGAAATCTTAATAATTCTAATGGTTTTCTTCAATTATAGTACAATCGAACTTATTTTAACATGAGAGAGGTAGCTTGCAAGATTTTCTGTTACAACATTTTATATGGTCCCAATAATCTGGATGCCACCAGGGGATCACGACTGGTTTTTGAATGTGATCTAGGTGAATGGTAACAGTTCCTAATTCGCTGTTAACCTTAGAAAGTGGTGCAGAACTGAACTTTAGCATTGTAGTTTTAGCATTGCTGTCCATTTTACGTAATCTCATTCCTCTGACGCTGGGTATTACAATGAATTCCTTACAAATAAACTATAACAAATAAAAGAAAAAAAAATTATTTAAGTTATAAAAATTATTTTATATTAAATTAGGTGTTAACAGACCAAAAGCAATTTAACTAAATAGTAAAACTATTTTAAATCATAATGATAACATTAAAAGATCTAATGATGGCCCAACTTTCTAACACGATTAGACTCTACGAGAACATGTTATATCATAAAGGTATTATCTACAAGATAGAAAAAAAAAAATATGTTGAAATCAATTGTGGCATTTAACCATTTTTTTCATGTGATTTTTGATGCACTAAACAGGCTTTACTAATTTTAATAACATACAGGAGAGAGAAGTAATACAGAATCATTGCAATTTTTACAAAATAGTATTGAAAAACACCAGACATTCCAACTCATCCTAACACCCCCATGAAAGCTAATGACACATGGGTACTTATCAGTGAATAATGAACCATTAATTACATCCCAACAAATCCTATCAAATCACATTTTATCCTTCTTTTTAAACCTATGACTTTATGGAACTCTAGTATTCTCATTAGAGGCCTAAGATAAAATCAGAAAAATTGCTCTTGAAGCAACAAATGTTTGAAAATTATTTATTCTTTAATCTTTCTTCCATAAAATTCATTGTAAAGGATTCTAATAAGATAATTGTCAGGGAGTAAGGTATCTCATTCAATACTACCTAAATATTAATGAATAACAAATTGTAATCCAAGGCTTCAGTCTCAGTTATTCAGAAGAAGAATAGTAAATTTTGTTCAGGCATATTTAGTAAAAAAAGAATAATGAAAATGAACAAAAATAAAATTTGCTTGATACAAAATGGAAATTGAGAAATAATTAAATTATTAAGTCATTATGCAAAATTTGATGCTCTACAACTTTGATTCTATGGGTTTTTTCTCTTAAGGCTCGGTCACACAGAACGCGATATTTATCGCGGCGATATAGCGCCACAGTTGTATTACTATCTATTCTACTATAACAGTCACATAGAGAGCGTTACGCTACAGCGATACATGCTGTAGCGCCGGGGCCGGCGATAAATTGATACAAATTACAAAAATATCGCCCTCCTTCGGCGTTATTCTCTACCTAATGTAGGAAGAAAAGTTAGCTAATACCCAAGTTAATAGGATTATTGCAGGATTATAACGGCGTGTTCACACAGAAGGCGTTATTTAGCGCGGCGCTACAGCGCCACAGTTGTATTACTATCTTTTCCACTATAGCAGTCACATAGAGGGCGTTACACCTCAGCGATACATTCTGTAGCGCCGGGGCCGGCGTTACGTTTGAAAAATATTACAGGTGTATCGCCGGGGCCGGCGTTATGTTTGAAAAATATTATAGATACAAATTACAGTTGAAATTATTTAGTGGTAGTATTCATATAGATATGTTAAACACCGAATTATTTATATAAAAAGTGAGGAATTTTCCATTTTTATTTGATATGAGACCTCAAGCAAATATTAAAAAAAATTATTAAAAAGGAGGTTACATGGAAAAAAATTGTGGAAGAGCTAAATATCACAAGTAATGTATTAATTGATATTATTATTATAATTATTGAACATTATAATAATTATATGTTATATACTTTTTTATCTTGAAATCATTTAAAAATTATACTTACGTTCTTTTGCTAATTTTAATTTTGCCTGTACTAAAGACATAAATGATAAAAAAAAAAATCTGTGTATATTGCATATTTAAAACGGTTGAGGAACAGATAATAACTATCCAAGATATATATGGCAATAAAAGAAATTCGTTACTACGAAATTAATATTAAATAGATATGTCATTTGAAGTAAATAATAATTTGAAATAAATCTGGTTTTACATAAAAAAAAGGAGAACGAAAGTTCATTATTAAAATATCTTCTGGAATATATTAAAAAATTATATATATTTGGTTATTCCTGTATTTCTTGCTTTGAAATATTAAAAAAATTAAATATATATATATATATATATATATATATATATATATATATATATATATATATTTAATTTTTTTAATATTTCAAAGCAAGAAATACAGGAATAACCAAATAACATATCTTTTTATAATTTTATGTTCATTAGCACAATTTTTAAGAATTGGAATGTAATACAATTTTGTTAAAGAGAAACAAGCTTCATCGCTAGAAACCGGCAGTAAATATTCGAAAAACGTGTAGCAAAAACTCAAACACTAGCAAAAAATTGTTAGAAAACCTAATAAATATAAAGCAAAAAATTTCGTAATAAAAACAAATTAAATTGAAACATAGTTTATTTATCTATAAAGTTATGGCCTTATTGTTAATTTAATTTTTTTATTATATTATTAAAAAATAGTTGGTTTTTCAATTGTAGATTGTCAAGTACCCATTTATTTAGTGTTGAATGGAGTGATTCGTAATTTTTGACTAGTGGTTCACGTCAATAGTCATCTCAACAAAAATAATCAAACCAATCGTCCTCTCATATTTATTAATAGAAAAATTAAATTTTGAAATGTCAGCCAAAACAGTTGTTAATTAATTGGCTTAACCTCAAAACTATAAGAAAATATATTGGTATTTTGACTTTTGCTTACCTATGTATGTAATATATAACAAAGGGAAAGTATTCCTATCGCTAAAATTTTCGAATCTGAGTTTTCAACGGAAATGCACGTTTTGAGGTCCCCTAAGCCCAAATAACCAAGTCCTGCTAAAGGGTCTGTGTGTCTGTTAGTCTGTGTCTGTGTGCAAGTGAACAGCCTAGCTCGAAAACGAAAACTCGCACGAAACTTAAATAGCGTATTTAAGGTTTTATATATAAAATCAGCTAATCGGAAGTATCACTTTATATCAACAGCGAAACACATATTTACAGTTTTCCCAAAAACTGCTCTAACGATTATGATTAAACTCGGTGTATCATTGCATAATTAAGTGGTCTTTAATATCATTTAGGTCTTTTCCCCATTAATCTCACTTTACAGAGTTTAAATGTACAATGTTTATATACATCTTTCCCTAAAGCACCTTTAATATGGATTATTTGAAAAAATCAACTCTCTTATATTGACAGTAACTATAAAAAATGTCTAAATATGAAGTTTAAAAGAATATGGCTAAATATGATGTTCAAAAGAATATGATGACTGGAAACTGAAGAAAAAAGAAAAATGCTTATCCTGGTTAAAAATGAATCTCCGGAAATAACAGTCAGAAGGTATATGTATAATATATCGTTAGAAAGCGAAGAATTTCAGAAAAAATAAAATTAAATAAATAAATGTAATAAATAAATAGAAGGTAACGCAGAGTGACAAAAAAAAAATAGAAATAATAATTTCAGAAAACTAACATTACTTAACGTAAATCACATGTTTCCAATGAAATTAAGCGAAATTCCGTTACTAAATGTAAACTTTTAAAGTACTTTTCTAAGTTTGAAAAAAAGTATTTAAAATCCATCGAATCATGCCAATGTCATTGTTTAAAATACTATTTAATTCTACTTGTGTGAAAGAAGTGAAATATAAAAATATTTCATGTATATATTTATAACCATAAATACTTTTGATGTGGTTCTATAACTCTAGATATGATATTATATTTAAATTATTGGGTATTTATTAGCTCTTTCTTAAAATCGTCAAGTAACCTTTTAGGAAATTAAATGAGTGAATAATTTTATGAATTTTCCCTTTGCGAAGCACCAACATTGTCGACTTCCAATTAGTGTGAAAATTTTCAACCTAACCATGGCAGGCAACGAAAATCTCGTAATTTCATTTTAGTAAATTTTATAATGGAAAATGACAGTTTAATAACTTATAGTTCTACAATCCATAATCATTTATATGTTAAATATTTAGATGTACTTTCAAATCTCTCTAGGCATATATGAACCTTTTGGTTGTCAGAAAAACTAACTTCAATTTCAACATTCTTCATTATTAATTTTAGTGATGTTTCTATTGGCGAACTTTATGCCTTTATTCGCAGTTCTATATTTCAACGTTACAATCACCTACTCTGGAATCAACTTGCTCACTGTCTGTATAGATACAACTTTTCCAACTAGAAATATCACTAAAATGACATTACTCAAAAATCTTGAAATTATAGTTATTCATTATGTCAACTGAGAGACCTCAGAGACTGAAGTTATGTGGTTTATAAAACTAGATTTTCATTGGCTACCGTCGATATAATAAATAGACTTTTTGTAATTTTACTGGTCTTAAAGATTTGTTATCTCTAAGCTTTAAACTTTAGCTCCGTTTAAAATGCACTTCAAATTTTTTTAAATAACCCAACATTGCCACAAAATTATTTCTATTAAAAGTAGTGGGGTAAGTGAAAGTTATGTGTTACCCGCACCAGATTTTTTTTATTACTTGTTTAAGCTGTTTAAAGATTTAATAAATTATTTAGATTTTACTGACCTAAATGAAGTTGGTTGGTGGTTTGTCTCTCTGGATAAAGAACATCCAGGTTATCAATCAATCCCCGATCAATTAAATAACACTACTTTTAAACTAATCAGGTTGTAGTTTCAAAATAAAAAAACGTCTGCCAAGTAAGGTCAGTATAGCTTCCTCACCGTTGTCATTGTATATTACAATGTATACCATTTTTTGTATGAGAATAAAATCTCTGGGAGAAGCCGATTCGGAAATATAGTTACCCTTCAACATTCAACAAAAGAGTGCTGTATTTGAAGATCCCATATTTGATTATCCTTAATAAAAAAAAATAAATAAAATGCACTCTGAACATGAATTTCAATACTGTTAGTGTAAAAGGTCTTATGTAATAATTTATTGTTTTACAAGAGTGCATAAAACTCATTATTTCTTTATGCTTTATTAGTATAATTTCATATTTTATTGTCATCTGCTACTATCCATAGTAGCAGACTACTTATATCAGTTGCAGACTACAAAATGTTACCTTTAATACAAATGGAATACAATTTGAAAAATTTTACATACGACTTTTTTGCACTAATTTTAGTAATATACAGTAGCGGACCCAGATTTAATTTTTGGGGGGAGGGCTTCAGCCTGTAAGATTTTGTTTTCATATACACAACGATAATTAATTTGAAAAAAAAAACCGCTGCAAATTATTGCACAATTTCCAAACAATTATGCATTTAAAGTAACATTACCTTCCTAGTTATTAAGAAAAAAGGTGATTTCAATTATTGGACTAAACTTTTTTTTTAATCATTAGTAATATGCTAAAAAAATAATTTAAAACCCAAAACAAAAGATATATATATATCTTTGCAGTAGAAAAAACTAGAGACCATATCTTTGCTCCTAATTATCCGGTTTTAATGAATTATTTTTTTTTAGGAAATCCCTTAAACCTTTAAAAATCATTATAGCCATAAGGCGAATGGCGGACGGCGGACTGACAAAAAAGTTTTTATTCGTTTTTCGTATTCTATGTATCCTGAAACGTAAAACCTCAAATTTTAAAAGGGGTTTAAGTTTTTGAATCTTTTGGTCGATCACAATGGTTCATCATTGAAAATAATAAACCAAAAATATATTAAAATCGCGATATCTCTACTAATAGTGCTTTGATTTCTATGAAACTTCATTCATTTTTTAGGAAATTTAAATACCTTTCAAACATCTTGTCACAACATCGACAAAAATGTGTATACTTTTTGAGTTATTCGAAATTTAATTTTACCATCCCCCGTAACTTTCTTCCCAGCTTCTTTTCGTTGAAATATGTTGTATAAATAAATTTAAAGGGCGTCTGGAAAATGACTAAAGAATTTTCATTGAAATCGCTAGTTCGTTTAGGCGCTATAGTCTATAGCAACCTAGGTTTTTCGGCCGCCATCTTGAAAGTAAAAGGCGGATGGCAATGTCGGTGAAGGAAGATCATCCTCGGACGACTTTTGATTTTATATCCAAATTTGAAAAAAAATCGGTCCAGTAGTTTCGGAGAATGAGCGGAAGGAGGATGTCGTACGGCGGACGGCGGACGGACAAAAAAATTGAATTCGTTTTTCGAATCTACGTATGCTGATACGTAAAACCTCAAATTTTAAGAGGGTGATAAGTTTTGAATTTTTTGGTCGATCACAATGGTTCATTATTGAAAATAATAAACCAAAAAGACTAAATAAATAATTAAAATAAAATAAATACACTTAAAAATATTAGTAATAAGATAAAATAAATAAACTTTAAAAAAATAATAATAATAAAATAAATAAATGAACTTTAAAAATGAAAAAAATAATAATAATAAAATAAATAAATGAACTTTAAAAATGAAAAAAATAATAATAATAAAATATAAAATAAAAGTTCTGCTAAGGATCATTAGTCATAAACACCATATATTTTTTATAAGATTTTCATCATGTACGAACTTCAGTTAAACCTAAATGAAGTTATAACCTGAATTATGAACATATTATTTTATTGAGCGTTTGAAATTTTAATGCACTTCTTAAAATTAAGTAACATTCTTTCATCACAATTAAAGGGTAACAAAATGATGCAGGAGAAACGAATATTACTCAGAAAATGAAATGTTTCCGAGTACATGATGTGAAATTTTACCTTTCTAAAAATGGTAAAACTATGTAGAGGTGTAAATTAAGTTAAATTTTCGATATTTGTTTTCCATAAAGTTAACCCGTTTTGTGTTTATCTGCTTTTCTAATATTAATGTTTAAAAAAAAATATTTATTTATGACATATGAGATTATAACTGTTTTTCTACTAAAAGTTACTGGCGATACTTATGTAAAAAGACCCAAATATTTATTATTTAACGATCAAGACAATAGAAATCAACATATATTTAAAATTAGAGTTCCTGATTATTTAAAGCATATGAATAAAATCACGATTGTTAAACCCTCTTGAATAGAATAGAAAAATAACTTTATTGTGGAACGAAGTCCCTTTAGAATAACAAAATAGTACAAAAGAAACAACTTAATTTTGGCCGAAATGCTTGGTATTTAATTTCATTAATTTTTTTATTCTATTTAACTTATTTATTGAAAAATATTACAATCTGTTTCAAAGGACATTTATAATAGTGTTCAGAGATAAATACAATAAATGAAATAAATTATACAGAAAAATAATATATATACAATAAATAAGTCATTAAATCAAATACATTTAATGAAATTAGATTAAAAAACACTGAAAACATGAAATAATCTTGCGATATACAAAACATTCAATCATAATTTCATAATAAAATAATCTATGTTTAAAAAAGAACATAAATGTAAAGAAAGCAAAAATAAAATTCGGAAATATTGAAAAAATCTATCTTCGTAAAATTGAAGCAGACGGCCGAGGCGATGGTATTCTACCAATCAGTCTATGTGCTTTTTGATTTCATGAATCCTTTTTCTGTTTTTTTTTTACCTTATGCTGAAGAGCTGAACTAATGAGCCTCCTCGTCAGAATCACTTATTTTCTATTCAAAAAAATGAATAAGAAAAATATTGAAAACAAATTATTAATATACAAGTTGCGGGAAGCAGGCTCTCTAGTCGACTAGGCCAGGCAGAGCGACGGGGCTGCTGTATCGCTTCCAAAGTAACGCTCTCTGTGTGACTGCCCCGGATTAGTTATCGCCGTGAGTATCGCGCGTTATTGTAACGTAACGTCGGATCGCGTTCTGTGTGACCGAGCCTTTAGGGAACTCATTTTCATGTTACAGGGCCATTTATAGTAATCTGTCTCAGTTTTTGGAAAATTTGGTAAAACTCAGCGTTGGTTGACCATGGTTTAATACCTTACCGCTTAACCAAATTTTAAAGTTTATGTACTCGTTTGACATTCTTAAATTTATTAAAGAATACATATTTCGCTTTGATACATTGTTTAGGAGTTATAGGTGAAAAATCCAAAAAATATCGAAAAAATCGGACTTTTTTGGCTGTAAAAAGTTTTCCCTTGGTGGTCCGCTTTAGCAATTCTGTTTTTTGCATGTCTAAACCCATATATAAAAGTTAAAAAAATTAACTTTTCTCACATTTTTCGCAATGGATTTCCTGTTTTAAATTATTGACCTAATATTATTTAAATCAGCCGCCATTTTTTATGCAGCAGCTCTGGAACGGCAGACAAGGTTTTTTTATTCAGAATAACATACACTTTTGTAATTTACAATCAAACTTTCACCTGCGATCAGGTCGATTTTTGGGCCCTGGCCCAAATTATGGTCCTAATTAGGAAACTAACCCTAACACTTATAAATGATAAGATTGATTAAAGTTGCTATAGTAAAATTATTTTAAACATTTTGATAAATTATTTTATATTAGGAAGGATAAACAGTTGCTTGTTAGATAATGGATGTTTTATTTTTCTCCCCTAGTGCATTTATTTTATTTTGTCTTCAATATAGTAACATAATCAACGTTTCAGGGCTCTGCCCCATAATCTGAAATTGTATTTTATTGCTATTGCTCCTAATATGGTCATATAAGTTTATAATATAATTTGGTATGTTTGTAATATATATGTTATATGGTCATATTTTTATATACTATTATTTGCTAAAATTATTCTTTTACAAACATTCCTTCAGATCCTTACACTTTTAAGACAGTAAAGATATACAGGATGTTATACAACAGTGCAATAGTGCAACAGAGCAGAGCCCCAAAACTATGATTATGTTACCATATTAAAGAAAAAATAAAATAAGTATTCCAAACAATGAAAATTGTATTGGTGAAACTTTTTAAATCTTTTATAATTTATATTTCTCAACTATTGAATTACCTTCAATAATCTACATTTTGCCTCTGGATTATAATGAATACCATAAGATTTCTTTTGCTTTAAACTCTCATTATCTTTGTCACAAAGTTTAAAGCTGTAGAGCCACCTTAATCCATCATTTGATTCCTGTAGGAAAAAAAATATATAAATAAGTCATGACAAAAATAATTAAGTAATAATTAAATAATTATAATAATATAATATAATTAAATAATTAAGTAATTAATTAAATAATTAAAAATAATTAAGTCATGACAAAACAAGACATGAGAGGCATCTAAAAATATTTTAACATAATTTTGTGGATGAGAGATGGCAAAAGTATATCTTAGGATCTGAAACTAAAATACTCTCTAAGAACTCTCTAAAACCTGCCTACACTTTTGATATCTGTATTGTTTCTTTTTTTTGTTTTTTTCCTCCCCTTCCTTGCCTTTTAGGCTACACGGAGTTTTTTTCCAGGGCGGAGGAGGGAGCAGAGGAATTATGGTGAGTTAAAAGCTGTATTGAGATTTGAACTCATAATTATTTTTCTATCTGAAACTTCGGTTATCAGGCTGCCCGGGCAACGTATGCAGGGTGCACACGCGTTTGTCCGCTCAGCCAGCCATAACCTCACTAACCTCAGCAGTCGAGTATCATTTGAGAGAATCAGAGGAAGAATGTTTAATTCTGTGAACTACCTATTCCTACTATCCTCCTAGTCCAGTGACTTTCCCTTCCCATGATGTTGAACAGATTATAAGAAATTACACCACCTCACTAACTTCTCCTGAAAACAAAATGAAGACAGACCCTTTATAGCAAAAACTACTGCTCCAAAATACTTTCCTCTTCAAAAACAGAAAGAAAAAATCTGATGTGGGCAACACACAACTTTCACTTACGGCTCTACTTTGAATAGAAATTATTTTATGGCAAAGCTGGGCTATTATAATTTTTTTTAATTGCATTCAACAGAGCTAAAGCTTAAAGCTTACAGATAACAAATCATTAAGACCACTATAATTACAAAAAAGTCTATCTATTATATTGACGGCAGGCAATAAAAATCTAGTAACTCCATCTGCTTTTATAAACCACACAACTTCAGTCTCTGAGCCATTCATTGACAGTTGACTCCAATTTCAACATAATTGATTAATATCATTTTAGTGATTTTCTAGTTGGAAAGTTATATCTATACAGACAGCGAGTTAGTTGATTCCAGAGTAGGTGATTGCAGTGTTGAAATATAAAACTGGGAATAAAGGTATAAATTTTGTCACTAGAAACATCACTAAAATTAATAATAAAGAATGTTGAAATTGGGGTTAGTCATTCTTTCAACAGAAATGCTCATATATGCCTAGAGAGGTTTGAAAGTATATCTGAATACTTAACCTATAAATGATTATGGATTATAGGACTATTAGTTATTAAACTGTTATTTTCCATTGTAAAGTTTACTAAAACGAAATTACGAGATTTTCATTGCCTGCCATGGATAGGTCAAAAGTTGTCATATTAATTGTACATGGATACTATTGGGATTTCACAAAGGGAAAATTCATCAAATTATTATTTATTATTATTATTTGCTAATTTAATTTTCTAAATCGCCATACTTATCCTTACTATATATTACATATATAGGTAAGTGAAAGTAAAAAATACAAACAGTACAGATGTCAAAAGTATAGGCAGTTTTTATGATTCGGAGTACATAGCTTGTTTATTTGTACAAATGGTTGCAAAAGAAGATAATTTATTTAATGTTTATAGTTTAGAACAGTATTATTTATAATAGAGGAGATTTGTAGATGCAAAATATAATTTATAAAGCTTTTATACTTATAAATAGCACAGTAATGAAATTTAACATTAAGTTGTATAAGACATAAGAATAAGCAGTAAAATAAAATAATACAACGAGAAGTAGTGATAATCAGGTGTGCCTATCCCCTCCAACTTTCGTTGTTCAAAAGTTTCCCCAAAAATTTGGATAGCCCAACTTCTACCTTTCAACACACTTCTGGAAACCCTGGTTATAGCCATAGTTAATAAACAATTATTATTTATAATTTTATTATAGTACTAAAAGTTATTCTATACAATGTTATGATGATTTTGACAAGATAAAAAAATATTGTAAAATATATAACATATATACAAAAAATATTTGTTGACTGAATAATAACTCCTCTATACAATATTTTATGCTATATACTTTTTATGAATTAGTTGTAGTTCAGATGTCTTGTAGTTGCCCAAAGCTTTACTTAATAGTAACTCTACTTCTATCAAAAATATTTTTATTTCATAGAATATTTAATTAAAGGATGGACATGAAAAGGTAATCTTTTGACAACCTCTTTGATCATTGTCCATTTATATACTTATTATAAAAAATATATTATTTTTGAATAAAAATATATTTAAATTGTAAATTAAATGTAAAATGTAATTTAAATGAATAAACAATATCATTGATCTGATTCATGAAATAAAATTTTAATCCATTAATTTTTATTTGATTGTAATTTTTTTTTCTCTATAAAGGACATATCTCTAAATGTGATTCCCTAAAAGGAGTCCACTATGGAGATGTTTAACTGAGTGTGTGTGTGTATTGTTTTTTTTAAAAAAACATATTATTTACCTTTTCTTCTAAACTCTGAATTCCATGGTGCAGGCACATTGTACCAATCAAATTGTCATTAGACTCCATATTATTATTGATCACAGATAAAGCATAGGGAGGGTAATAGTAATAAAGTGACCTCACAACTTTTTGCTTGAGACACTTCTTAACATCGAGGCATTGGCGAGACAGACACCTGGGGATATCCACCTTTCTACAGCATCTGAAAGAGAATAAAATCAATTTATATTATTAATAGAAGTAAAGTATAAACTTTGCAAATTTGTCTCTGGCTGATGCAAAAATAATGTTTAACATAATGCTATGTTTTAATACCAGTAGTGTAAACAAAGAAAATCCTAAATAGTTATTATTTATGTACCATAATAAACCTTATCTAATCTCTATTACAAAGAATTCAATCAGAAAATCATTTTCTTCATTATGTATAAAGTTTTGAATCAAAAATGTCAAAGAGCAATTTTCATCAAATTTCTTTTTACGAATTTAAATTAAGAAAGAGCACTCCGCAAACTGCTCGTAATATTAATGAAGTGAACAGGTAGAGATTTCGACTTGGAAAAAAAGGAAGATCGTGACAGACATTCTGAAGAAGACAACGACCAGTTGAGGTCAACAGTAGAAGAAGATACAACTAAAACCACCCAAGAAATGGTGACAGAACTCGGCGTGAACCAATCGACCATCCTATGGCACTTGGAGCCAATTGGTAAGGCAAAAATGTTGGCCAAGTGGATGCCACACCAATTAAATTACCACAAAAAAAATTGTCGTTTTGAAAACTGTTCCATGCTTTTGATACACAATATAAATGATCCATTTCTCAATCGCATAGTTACATGAGATGCAAAATCGGTCTTATAAAACAGAAAGCGTAGTCAAAGGATGGACAAAGATGAACAACCATGACAGTTCCCAAAGCCCAACTTGGACCCGAAAAAGTTATAGCCACAGTTTGGTGGTCTACTGTCGGTGTTATCTCTAACAACTTTCTCAATCGTGGTAAGACTACCACTGCCAACAAATATTGCCATGTAGTTGATGATATGAATCAAAAGTTGCAGCGTCTATGCCCAGCACTGATTAATTGGGAGAGGCTGATCCTTCTCCACGATAATGCTATGCCATATGTTGCACAACTAATGCTGTGACGACTGCACAAGTTGGGCTGCGAAATTCTCCGAAACCCACCTTATTCACCTGACTTTTCTTCTACTAACTTTTATTTTTTCAGGCATCTGAACAACTTTTTGCATGGGAGAAATTTCCAAAACCAGGATGAAATTATTTTCATGAGTTCAATGCAGCCAGTAATCCAATTTTTTTTTTTTCTGGTAAGGTAAAAAAGCTAGTTGAACGTTGAGAAAAGTGCATTGATTTAGATGGAAATTATTTTGATTAAATGTACATATAAGTGAAAACACGGTGTATTTTTTAGAAGCAGGCTGACACATGTGTACAATACCGTGTTACCCGGCAACCTGATGGAAGATGAGTTCATATTTCAGTGTCAGGAGGGCTTTTAACTCTGGCATTAATATTCTCCCCTTATCCTCTGGCTTGGAAAATCTCCATATAGCCTAAAAGGGGAGGATGGAAAGAACAAAAAAACAAAAAAAAAGGGATATTTTCAATGAATATTAAAAACCTGCAATATTTTTACATCAACCCAATAACTATGTCTACCAATTTAAAATCCATATAGTTATCTGGTTTTAATATGAACATTATCCTAGATAAATTTAATTCATCAAATAGTTTTCACAAATACATTTTACAAAATCTGAAGCACACAACAATGTTGACAAAGTAACTCGATCCCTTATAAGGCACCCAGATTGCATTTACATGAAAAACAGAGATGCAAAAAATTTTACTGCTTAAATAAGTGCAGCTTAAGGTAAATATAATTGTTTTTACTAAATTGAAGATAGATATACTCAGATTGACTTTGAATGGTTGGATATCTTAAATCATTTGTTATACAGTCAACTTTCAATCATTGAAAATCCAAGAGACTACAAGAAAAATACTTCAAATTATTAAGAAGTTTGAATTATCAAGAAGAAAAGAAAAAAAAATTGAATTATTAAGAGTTTTAATTATAATTTTGGAAATATGTATTTGCTTACATAAATTTTATATATACATAGCCTCATAGTTCAAATTATAGAATGTTCTTGGTCCCTCTTGTTACGAAAAGGATTACGAGTTATCGAGTCTATCAAAATACAAAATTTTTTCAATTTACTGAAGTCAATTGAATTATCGAATAATTTGAATTATTGAGGTTCAAATTATCAAGAGTCGGCTGTAATACTTTGTTTCATTTTTTTAATTTCTGAGATTACTTACAAATTCTTTTTTACTTCCCTTCATGAATTTTTTTTTTATCTTTATATCATAGTTTTTACATTTTTTTACCACTTTCCCAAAAACAGTCAAATAATTTTGATTAAACTCATTTAATGGTCTTTAATATGTTTTTTCGAAATGGGTTTTCATAAAGTGTGTTTAATGAGGTTAATTGTCAATAATTAACCATATTTCATTGTTAGCAGTAATAAAAATGGATAAATATAAATTATGGAAGACGGATTATTAGCTCAAGGAGAGAAAAAAATATAGATTTTTACAGGTTTAAAACAAATTTCTAGAAATAAAAGCAGTAATATAGACTGTTGAAAAGATAAAGATTTTATAAAGAATATTATCATAACAAATAGAATTTTAGAAGGTAACGGAGAGCGAAGAAAAAATAATAAATTTTGTAGTCAAGTGTGTAGTTTTACATTTAATAGAAACTAAATATTTCAATAAAAACTAAATGAAATTTCCAATAAAATTAAAAGGAAACTTATAAAATGTATTTTAAGCTTGACAAACTAATAGTATATTATAGAAAGTTATACTTTGCATTATTTAATACACATTTATATTTTATTTTAAGCAATATTCTAATAAGTTATTAATTTATTTAAAATTACTTAATACAACAAGTGGTGGGAATAAGTGAAAGTTGTGTGCTGCACAAAGCACATACCACAACAGATTTGTTTTACTGATTTTTATTCAACAAATTTTTGTGAGATTAATGTACCTCTAAGTTCGAATGCTGCAACAGCTGCTCACCATTTAATATATTAAATAGTCCGTGGTCAGACTATTTATAACAGACCTCTTTTTATCGAATTATTAACACCCACCTGAAACTTCGTAAATAGTTTTATCTCATCGTAACCTATAACTATTTTATTAAGGAAAAGTCTAGGAATTGGGGTATTTTCATTGTAGAGGGGGACAAACTTTGTCTATTTGATTAGGTACTAAAAACTCATAAATAGCCATTTGATTTCTAATTTAATCAACAAATCAATAAAAAAGGTGGCCTACAAAAATATTGGGCCATTTGTCCTATATAACCTCGTTATTTTGAAATTTTTGGGGTGTACATCACGCCAAACAGCTCAATATTTTTTAAAGCCACCTTTTTTCTTGATGTTGTGATCAAATTATCTTACGATCCAAGTAGAAAGCAAATGAGTATTTATGAGATTTTAGTACATAATTAAATAGACAAACTTTGCCCCTATCCAGATTGAAAACGCCCCAATTCCAAGAGTAAATAAAGTAGTTGTAGATTACGATGAGATGAAACTATTTACGAAGTTTTAGACGGATGTTGATAATTCGATCAAAAGGAGTCTATACCATGGACTAAAAGACTTTACATGATATCTATATGGAATTCAAAGTTCATTCAATTTGAACATAGTGCCTTTTTTTTTTTCCTCTATTTTGTGGGAGTTGAAGGAAATGTGTAGATCATGAGTTAACAGTGAAAAATTAACAAAGAACACTATTTTTTGTTAAGTGCACACATAAATACAACTTACTCCCAACCCTCATCAGTTGTTCTAAAATTAAAAAATAAAGTGTATAGGTTTTTTTTTTTTCTAAACCTAAAAAAATAAAAATTTTCAACTTTATTATATTTATTTGAAGAGTAATGTTAACGATTAAACAGATTGTTTTGGAGTTCCATGTAACACTGAAAGAAATGAGAAAGGTCACGTTTTTACACCTACCTAGACTAAAAAAAAAGATGGCAGACAGATTTTTTTTTAAAAATTAAGTCACAAAGAAAATTGTTTTTATTTCTCCAGGTTATATGAATATATAATGGTTTTCTTCACTAACAGGTGCAGATGAGAAAACACACAGTTATCCAAGAGAAGCCAGTCTTCTCTTGAGTTGACTCAAATAGGCTTCCTTTTATTTAACAAGCTTGCAAACGATATTAACAAGATGTAGCTCTAGTATTATTTCTTACAATTTCCTAGATTTAATGTCGCCTGGTGTTACTGCTTCATTGCTATGTCACGGCATGGATGTATATAGCTTAAGTTTTTCTCAATAAATTAAAAAAAAAAATTTTAAAACCAGTCTATTAATTGAAATTAGCACATTCAAATAAACAAAATCTTCAGCTTTACACATCAGTAAAAAAAAAAAAAATCAATTATTTTGAAATTAATGAAAAATCGAGATATTATTACTTCCAGTACATTATAGTTAAACTTCCTGGGGACCAAGATGACAGAGAAAAAAATTAGTAATGTTTGCTTTAATAGTTTTTGTGGTTACCAGTTACAAATGAGAAACAGGCTATTCTGAAATATGGACATAGATAATCTTTTATTTTATGCTGTTTCTGCTTCTACTCCCTTTTTTTGATCATTGTTGTCTCAATGACATTTGTAATAACAACTAAATGTAAAACCCATAACATTGAGTAAACTTTCAAAATTCATTAAACAGGGTTAAAAATATTTTTAATTTTCTTTAAATAAGCGAGATTGAGAATTTCACCACTTTAAAACTTTCACAGTACATCATGAACCATTCAGCAGAAAACTGCATATAAATTCATCCAGTAGTTTTTACGATTAGCAGTAAAAATATTTTGTATAATAGTATGATGTTTGGTAATTAATTTTTATTCGACTGAGATTTCCTCAAATTACCATAAAACATAATCAACGGTGACAATCATTGATGCTACATAGATATTGCCCTCAAATTAATTACTTTTCAAAAATATACTTCTAATATACACTTAATTAAAAGCTTACCGTTAAGATTTACTTTATCAGAAACAAAGTTAATAAATATCATTAAAGATTTAACTAATTTGTTTTTGTAAAAAATCTTTTAACTTACACGAAGTTAGTTGACTAACAACCATTTAGGCCTGCAACTTCATCATAATTAGTTGTATCAGATCAAAATAAGTTTAGAATACACTGGGTAGGATCATCCTGTAAAACAGGATTGTTTCAGTGATGGATTCTCCAACTGATCTTGACCGTTGCATTGAAATAATCCTGAGGTCTGTAGCTATCTTCACCAATTCCTCCAGGCACTTCCAATTATTTATAAGCTACACAAGTTAAAAATATTTCATAAACAAGAATGGTTTCCATTATCAACAGCATCTCAAAGTTCAATAATGACCTTCATGAATAAGACTAGAGAGAAAAATGACTACTTTAATATTACGAAGATAATAAGATATGAAAAACATATATTTCTTAGAAAATTATTAAAGTCATATAACTTTTAACTGAATGTTATTACAAGAGAGTTCACGACAAAATACCCATTGATATACCGCTCCAACTTCTAACTAGGAAAAGAAGCCAAAGAGAAACAAGGAGGCAAAGATATAAAAAGAAACATCTGAAAATTTCATAGGCTGAAATCCAGTGATGAAAGACAATAGTGAAGAGAAATAAACGCTCTCTGGGTCAAGTTAATCCAAATTTAAAGCCTTTGGGTCGAATAATAATCATAGGCTATGTGAAAAAATGGTGTAATAGTTCGATACTTTCTTCGGTGTTTCTCATCAGCAATAAGGAGAAACCAGACAAAAAACTATGGCTCATTTTCGGCTCTCAGGAGGTATGGGTTTGATGAATAAGGTTTCAAGTGAAAGAGAATTTCATGGACACGTGATGATTCCCAATTTCAAAACATTGATCCTTACTACAACTATAATAAAAGTCATTGAAAAATTGAAAGGGTTCAAAACTAAATTAATTCAAAAGTCGGCGGATCAAGGGGGGATGAATTGTGTTTTGAACATTTTTACGAGCATATAAATATCCTGTTTTTCAGATAAATCATAATTCTTATCTAATCCTTCCTAGGTGCTAGGGTTGCCATAAGATACTTATCACACATTTAGGTTTTAAAAAGTGAACTATTGTTATTTATGATAGTCTTGGACAAACTGATCTATTAAAAAGGTGTATGGAGGAGAAAAGCTCTAGGAACCCTAGTTTACTTTGGATAGTATAGAAACTTTTTGATACCTTTACTAAATAAAAAAAAAAATCCTCGTATGAGTTCAATACTCTCAATATGGTATAGACTTCTATACCATTAATAAGCGAAAGAACTACAAATCAATGTACTTCTGTACCAAACTAATTGGTTTTAAATGAGTACAACTATGGATCAGTATAAGTTCAGGGATATATTAGTAAACTAATAATAATACAATCTAGATTTTTTTTATTGTTCTCAGCATTGAAAATTTTCTCTCATGTTTTACATTGTAGACTTCAAGGAGAAAAAAATAAGTACTCCATCTGTATATGTGTAATCTAATCTATGTGGCAGACATAGCACTTACTACTACTGCTAATCCGATGGTCTTGCTAATATTGATGAAATTTTCAGAGATATGTGGGTCAGTACCTGCGTGGCACCCTATTAACTTTATCAAATTTCAGCTCCTTATTGTACATCTTAACAAAACAATATTTTAAATATATCACAATTGATTCAACTCAAAATTAAGCGCTTATGCAAAAATGGTTCAGTACCAATTTTATCAAATTTTATTTTCTATTTTCGCTTACACAAACAAATTTTTCTTGAAATACCTATATTACAGTTCATCCGGTTTGCCTCAAAGTTTATGGAAGATTGGAGATTAATAATCAAGTATTAGTTTCTTACATTTGATATATATATATACTTTTTTTTCTGTTGGCACTACAGACCATGAAGATCTTTGGCCGCAAGATATAGTCTACTTACAGACGTATAATGCTGGTGGGAGCACAGGTAGTCTGGAGTGGGTCACCCAACCTCACGTTGCTATGAACCATGGTCTCCATGGTGCAGCGGCAGGCCACCCGTAGCTCCATAAATGATCCCTTTGGGACCAGAGTCCTTCCCACCGACTCACTCAGGTTTAAGGACAGTGACACATCGGTCTAAATCCATGGATTATGGCTACTCAGAAACAGCAGGTGCACGAGGACCTATATTTCTTTCCCAGGAACAGACTGTCCATGAACCAAACCTCAGAGAGGCTACTGACATCATAGTAGACCACATCCTGATTGCCGATTTTAAGAACATGGGGTAGGGTCCTACACCCCGTCGGTGTGAGTTGCCTCCAGTAGCCGGACCGGGCTCACATAATCTCGGTCAGCGTTGCTTCCCTTGATGGGCGGTCACCCATCCTAGTACTAACCACACCTGACGCTGCTTAACTTAACTGCATGTATGTATATATATATATATATATATATATATATATATATATATATATATATATATATATATATATATATATATATATATATAGGTTTTTATCCATTATTATTATCTGTTTAAAGATTCCAATATTTAATTTATTATCAATGATGATATACATTAATTGATAGTATATTTTGATTACATAATATGGTTCTTACCTCTTGTACAGTCTAATCCAAAATGAGGCAGTGTTAACCACACTTAAAGTAGTTTTACAAATTAATGAAAAAGATTTTACATCTTCGGGCCTAATATACTCGGCTAGGAGAAGCCATATTTTTATGGGGTATTCGGTATACTCATTATTATTTTCCTCACTATTTTGTTTTACACCAGCTGAAATAAAAGAATTTTACATACTTGGAAAATCATTTACAGATATATTTTAAACATTTTATAATTACAGAAGTAACATACCTGTTACTGAGAAAGTGTCAACTTCATTCCCTAAAACCAATTCTCCTTCATCATCTGCAGGGATGATATCAACATCCTCACTGGTACTGATTTGACGCACTAAAACAAGACCATGTTACATTATTAACTATTTTTAAAAGTAAACAATGGAGGATGTAGCTACAATAAGGGACCATAGAACCATAGGCAATTATTTCATAAAATGTTTTAATCTCTTCCTCATTGATTCAATGAGGTTGAGTGAAATATTGGTTTTAATGACATGTATGCCTGCTCCAATATTTATGTATGCTAAAGAATTGACCAGATGTGTTACAATCAATAAAATAAGCCAAGAGAAAAATTGAGTAAATGGAAAATTGGAATGAGAACATAAAAAAGACAAAGCGGAGAAAAAACTTATGATTCTGGAAAAAATATCAACAAAGAACTAACATATCCATAAAAATTGTAGCATCAAGGTATGTTATGTTCATTTCTCCTTTACCAATACAATAATTTTATTTCAAGTCTTCTGGGTCTGTCCAAATAAAGAAATCCAAGATAATTTTTATAAATTAAACTTGACAAGAAAAATTGAGGCTTGTTGTCATTTCACTACAGATCCAAAATTCAATCTTATTATTTTAACATATTAGTACTTCACATTAAAAGGCATAAAAGTATAGATTTGGCATAGTTATACAGTTTTTTAATGAAATTGCTTAAAATTTTTATTTTTAAAATGAAAATAAGAATAAAATAATTAATAGGCTAGATTAGATTAGATATTTGAAAAAATATAAGATTCCCCTTTCAAATGGACCAGATCAAGTTGATCCAGAAGTCTCTGCTCTGAAGTATTTAGAAAGATGGACATCAGTCATTTTCAGAGAAAGTCAATTATTTTTTTATAAGTCCAACTTAAACTGTTGTATTTAAGAAAGTTCAAGTTGAATTATGAATAAAAATCACTAGAATTATTTTTAAATGAAGGGATGTTACAAAAATTAGCTTTTTCTCAACATTTTATAAATGATAGATGCCCATCTTTGATATGACACCACTTAATTAATCAATTACGTGTTCATTGATAGAAAACATTTAATATGTGCTACTAAAAAGGGTTGTAAATATTTAATTTAATTTTCTTTTAGAGAAATTAAAAAAATAAAAATGACTTATTTGTTTACTTTATCCTCTTAATCAATTCATAAAAAGGTAGAAATTGAAAAGAACAATGTAGGATCAACAGAACATTAAGCAAAACTTGACCATTCATAGCTCGGAAATAACTTTTGGAGTATGGATCCACATCCTCAATTAAAAATAACCAAATACATTGACCTATTGTTAAAGAGGAAAGGAAATTAAAACACAGCAGTATGCACCTTTATTAAATGTATAACTCTATCTCCATATTCTGACATAATATAAATCTGAGTAATTTCTTATACGTCTTTATATTCTAAATCTTCCCTTTCTACTCTTTAACATTGTCAATGATTTTGGCGCAGACAAACTATTTTCATTAATATAATTAAGCGAAAGCCACTTAATTTGATAAAAATATTCAATCAGCATTTATTAATATGAGTAATAATAATAATATTATAAAATTTCATTTGTGATTAATAATGGACATTGATAAACACAAATGAAAATAGTTATAAAAAGAAAACAAACATCTTTAAAAGTAGACAATCAAAACCAATCATAATTGCTTTTTAGCTGATAGCCAAAGAAATTTTTTTGAAACCTTAGAACATTAAACATTAAAATTACCATGTTATGTAAGTCTGAAACATAAATCAGTGAAGAGGTGAAAAGTATTACAACACAGTACATCTGATAAGGATTTCTATTTGTCATTAAATAATAATTAAAAATATCTAAATAAAAAGAGAAAATAATCATATTTAAACATCAAGTGAATTTCATGCAGTTGCTTATTATTGGCAATCAGTAGGTTGAGTTTTATTCAAGTAAAACAGTACCAAATGATGAGCATAGTAATATAGCACAATCTATCTATTAGCCCTGCGTTCCACAAAGTTCAGTTTTAGCCCACTTCAGCATCAACTGCCAGTCTTCTACACCAAGAGTTGCTGCCTTCCAATTATAGACATCAAGGAGAACTCATTCATCTGAAGCAACGCATTCCAACCATGGAAACTGTGGTCTACCAGAGCAATTAATTCCCAACATTTGCTCCCAGAACACTGGCAGGAATCTCTTCCTCTCCTAATCTCATAACCTTCCTACCTGGAAGTGTTCGATTACATGAACCTCCTTGTATATATTTTTCAGCTCTACGTGTGTACTTCTCCATAGGCCATTCTGAAAAAATGCTCGTGTATTCTTCCCTCAAAACACAGCAACAAAGCTTCCTGAGGTTTAGTAAGGTTGAATATTTTAGAGGCATCACTTAGTACAGGTCGGATAATTACATAATTAATAAATCCAAACTTCTGAGGGCTTCAATGTAAGGTTATTTTGTAGATGTTTATGTAGCACAAAATAGCACTGATTTGTAGCTACTGTCGTCCTAATTATTTTTGTACCAATATCATTCATTTATTTTGTTGATTATATAAGACTAATCTAATCACTATTTTATTAAATATGAATACTAGATTAAAATAAATGAATATCAGCTACAAAGAAACTATTGGAAGTATATGTTATTAAAATGCTTTCAGAAATTGAGTTAATTTATTATTTTTAAAAATATGATGGTTATAGCATACTAACACAATATTTAAATGTTATAATAATGTTGAAAACACTACCTATTATTCTTGAAGATAAATTATCTTTATACAAACCTTATTATAAATTTGAGTACAAGTTTTCAATCACTAATCCAAGATAGCAGCTGACTTTAGAATCACATTGAGCATACTGTCGAAGGAATCCTGAAACTATGTGCTTCCGGAAGTATATAGAAACACCAATTTCCAACCCTTTATAATCAGTAAATTACTTTTAAGAGGGTTATTTAAATTCTCTAACACAGAATGTTTACATTAGATCAGGTCAGCTCTAGTCACTACTACCTCTACTTCTAGTTATATATATATATATATATATATATATATATATATATATATATATATATATATATATATATATATGTTAGTGTAAACTGAATAATCAAATGTTTTTGAACCTCATAACTTTTTCCATGGAAATAAATCTAGCTTGACAGACCTTAGGGTATGTATATAGGACTTTTTTTTTGGATAGGATTTTGATTGGTTTGAACAGCATAACTTTAAACAATGTTAAAGGTTTTGGTACTTTTTGATTAGCAGGCCGGCATGAAACCTCACTTCTTATCTAATGTCACATCACATAACCTCCCTCTTCTAATCCCGCCAAACCAACCTTTGAGTTATTGCATTGTTTAATTTTCAGTTATTCCCTTATTATGTTCACTTAATAAATTCTTTACTTTTTGCTCATTATTGTTTATTTTTCATCATTTTTAGTTTTTGGTCCGTTTGTGTTTATTTTTCATTTTTTTTTTTAGTTTGTGGCCTCTTTGTGTTTATTTTTCATTTTTTTTTTTCGTTTATTTTGTTATATTATGAATCTTCTTAGAATATGGGATTTGCCGTCATCAGAAGAACAGGCAATTCAATATTTTCAAAATGTTGAGATACTTGCAGACGTGAAATTGTGTGAACAAGGTCATCGAATGAAGTTAACCAGGAACGCCAAATGGAGATGCTATTGTAGGACTTATGACACAAAACATTCAATAAGGAAAGGAACATGGTTGGAGGGCTCGAGGATTTTGTTTTTAACAGCTTTAAAATTGATTTATGGGTGGTCCCATAAGTTAACAACGATGAAGTGGGGCAAAGAGCAGCTGAAACAATCCAATGGAGGTATGGTAACTTGGAACAAATGTCTAAGAGAGGTTTGTGCCCATGACATGTTATACAGACCAAGTAAAAAAATTGGAAGACCTGGCAAAGTGGTTGAAGTAGAGGAAAGTCTTTTTTCTAAATGAAAAAATCGTGTGGGGAGAGTTTTACCTCAGCAATGGATGTTTGGTGGAGTTTGCCAAGAAACAGATGAGTGTTTTATCGTCAAAATAAATGGCAGAAAAGCATCAACCTTATTCCAAGCAATTAAAGACAATATAGAAGAGGGAACGACCATTTATTCGGACTGTTGGAAAGGATACAACACCCGACAACTGTACGAAGCAAACTATGACCATTTCCAAGTGAATCACCGGTATAATTTTGTCGATCCATCAACTGGGGTTCATACTCAACACATAGAACGATTATGGGGCTCAGCGAAGTGGAGAAATAAAGTACATAAAGGAACTGCCAGACAACACCTCAATTCATATTTGTACGAATTTTTGTGGCGGCGGGTTCACAGAGAAGACCCGTTCCTTGCTATATTAAATAGCATAAAACAATTTTGCCTTCCAAAATAAATAAGAAAAACTGAAAATAAATTCTGCATGTGTTCTTTAAATGTTTTTTATCATTTCATTTTGATCTTTTATATGTACATATTTTCTTAAAGTGTTTTTTTATTATTTCATTAATATATGTGTCGTAAAATAAAAGTATTTATTTTGTTATTACATTTGTTTTTGTATCTGTTTACACTTTCAATAATACGAAGATAGGAAGTAGGAGAAGGCATATCACTGCGTTATCGGAATTATCAGTGTTCAGGTTATAAATTTTGGCAGATAGCAGTCAGTGCCGGCCTGCTAGTCAAGAAGTACCAAGGTTTTGTTCAACATATAATAATAAAACCCTATCTCACCTTTCTGCTGAATAGGTTTGGTGGCAGTGGTATATCACATAAAATGATTATACAACCCCAGATAGTAAACATAAAACTGAACATCCACAATGGTGGATTCTTGTAAATGGGACACAAAGTCCTTATAGTATGGGTAATCAAAATTAAATAATTAATTAAATGCAACCAAATTTTTCTCTATATCCTGTTATTTTAAGTACTATTTTTGTTTTATACTATTTTTCTTATCCTACGTCCTAATATGCTTTATGCTGTGTCCTGGTATATGAACATTATGTCAATACTCAGATACTTTCATCATTCCTCAAATTTCATACGTAGTGCAGTCAATGTGATCTTGAAACCAGTCACCGTTTTGAAGAAACAATGCGGAACAATTAACAATATATTAAAAGTAAATTACGTGGTCTAAGCAAAAAATTACATAACTATAATGTTAAACCATTTGATATTTAAATGCCACTAATACAAAGATAGGTATTTAACCTATGAAACAAACATTGCGATATAAAGACATATTATTTAGAACAATTTTTCTTGGATCGAGAATATAAAACATCATAACAAACCACTACTCAGTATCCTAACTAAATTTAGACTCAATTAAAATGGGTCTATTATTATGAAATAATTAAGAAGTGACCAGAATATTACCATGGGAAATAACACTTGAAGCTTTCTTCAATCGCCCTTTTCCTGCAGGGAGATCAGAATCAGCAAATTCAGATAGTGTCACATCTGAAAATCATGTTTCGTAAGACAATAGGTTTTAAAAAAATAATTGCTTTTAAAATGTGATACATGATGTTTTAATTTTAAAAATGGCAATATCTGATCAACTATAGCTACCTAAAACTTTTGAAATAAGAAAAACTTACCATATACTTTTTCAACAATCCTACGAGCATTGAGAGAGGTGAGACGAGTTTTTTTACTTTTCGACATTACTAGTAAGAAAAGTTAGTTAAAACCGGCAAGTGTTTGATTTCCTTTCAATTTTCATTATCTAAGGTGATAGTAGCCATACTGAATTGTTTATAGTTGATACAGTGTTGCTCATACAAGTACAGATATTTGATTATTACAATAAAGCAGACTTCAAAAGTTGCTAGTTTTAAAATTTTAAATATTTCATATTATTCGAAAGTATATTGTAAAATTCAGAATGAACAAATCTAAACGTTATAATGTGTAGTGGGGTTGGGGTGGAGATAATCACAAAGCAGGCGTGTACCTATGACGTCATGTGCCAAGATGGATGCCGGGTTCGCAGTCTAGTAGTAGGCCGAATGGAGTAGGGTTTTGTAGGTGTGTCAGTTTCCCTCTTCAGGATAATGCCGTTTTCAACAGTTTTCTCTAGTGCTATAAGTGCTCAGTGTCGAATAATTGATGTAATAGAGACTCTAATTTTATCTTTCGTCGCTTTAGGTCGAAAATGCGACTCAAAAAGTTAAGTTAATAGTAACTGCTGAAGTTCTGTGTCGAATGTTAGTTTCTTTTGAGGGAAGTTAGTAATATAAAAACGCCAAAATGTGGAATATGATGTGCGATGTGATGCCGACAATATCGGAGGATGCGATAGCTCAACGGAGCTCGCAATTCCCCGCCGATGAAGCGAATTTCGAACAACTTATGGTGACTATGTTGGATGAAAGAGATAAATTAGTGGAGAGTTTACGGGAAACTCAAGAACGGTTGAGCGAAACTGAGGCGAAATTAGCAGAAGTTGAGAAGGAGAGAGACTCATTGCAAAGGCAAATCTCTGCCACCCTACCCCAGGTGAGTACTACGAAACTACTATCAAACCATTCAGTCTCCCCTCTCCCATTGCATCCGATTTGAACCTTTATTGATTCCTCCCGGCCTACCCTCAGAATATGAAAACACCGATTTATAGCTTTAGTTGCTTATGCATTGTTTTATTACCTGTCATTTATGTATTTCCTCAACTCCATACATTTTATCGCTACTTTACAGAACATATAATTTAGGGAGCCATTTTGACATTTCCCAGAGCTTAAGGTTTTATGTCGTATATATTATTTGTAACTTTAGTTCTTTAAGTTGTTTTAGTAAATATGTTTGGTATACCTGCTAAATTTTGTTATGGCTCGTTAAATCTAAAAGCAAAGCTAAGGTGTTCTTTAGTGTGATTTGTAACCTACCCTTAGTTTTTTTGACATTGATTATATGTAGTAATAAAACTTGAGATTTTGTTTAATTATTCTCATAATTAGCAAACAAAATTCATTACACTTTTTCTCTATTATCTATTTATATTTCTTATCACCATACATTTTTCGTCAATTATCAAAATGAAGGGGTGATAACATGACTCGTTAACATGTCTTCTTTTTTACTGAAAATATTTTTTTATTGATGGTGTAAGATCTCCTTTGACTAGTTTTATCTTCACTACCTAGTATACTTTGTTTCTGTCATATTTGTTATTGCTTGAATTTCTATTTATCTTTTAAAAAGAAATGTAAAGTATTTTTATGAACTATACAATAAGCTCCATTATTAATCTGTTAATACTGAGAAAATTAAACAATTATACATTCTTAAGTGATTATCGAATTGGTATGAAATCATTTTGTGGCAAATTTTAAATCATCATGTTTTTTTGTTGATTTAATTAATCGGATGTGTGTCATAAGTGATTTACCAACTCCCCTTTTTCACATTTTTTTTCTCCCATCTTTCAATAACCACATTCATTTATTTTTTTCGCTGAACATTAAACTTAAAATTTATCAATATCTATACCATATTTATCTCTGTAGATTTTTCTAAATAGTTTTTCCCAAATACTCCTGCTTTTATTTATAGTATGTATTGCTAATATAATCTTAACTCTATTTCTTTAAGTTGTAAAAAACATTCTTTATCTATCTAACCAAGAATATTATTTGACAAAATATATAATGATCGCATTGTTGTCTTATTTATTTTAATATATTTATTTGTCTAAAATGTTGTTTATAATGAAGATTAGATTTAAATAATAAGTTAATCTTTGTGATATTTATGTATTATTGATTTATAGTTGTGAAAATTATTTATATGAATTACCCAAATATTTTCGATTTCTCACCCTTAACTAGCTTGGTGAAAAATCAATTTTATTCCGATAAAATCGCTTATATGGAATTTGATAGATTAGGTTCATCTTATTGTTTTATAACATATTTAGTCATTTGAACCGTGTTTACGGGCACGTTTTGTTTGAAATCTAGATTAGCAAACAATCTACAGGTTGATTCAGCATCCTTTTTTTTTCCCTCCAAGAATTAATTCCTCGGTTCGCGGTAAATATTGAAATTGCCGCGCTTCTATTATGGGCGGGATGGACTTGCGCTTTGGTCTCCGTATCGGATTTGGCTAGTTATTATTTAATAACGAAAAATGTCTATCCTAATTATCTTATTGATTAATCAATTGTAACTAATCATAATGATAAATAACAGTATATCTGTTAAAATTCATTGCAAATCATTCAAACCACATCTCACAACTCAATAAATTACCGATTTCGTTTTATTCATTATATTGTTGCCAATAAAAAAATTGCGAAATATATTTACTCCTTTCTGAAATTTATGATAATAAAATATATTAACCAATTTATAAATATTAAACAAACAAACAAAATAATTACATCTAAAATTGCGCTAATGAATAGTTTGAGAAAACAGGTTTAGGTGATAATAGCCTGAGATGAACTGTTGATAACGTGTAAGTTACTAATATTAATAATTATTCTTAATTATCACTTGTTTCTATCTGCTACAGCAAGGAAACTCTTATATTTAGATAATTTACTACAGCAAAAAAAAATTCAAATGGAAGAAAAAAATAATTTGAATAAATTTTCTATTAATTATTTATGAATTTTCGATTATCGCTGACTACAATATATAACGACGCGTTATCACCAAACGTAAACAACATGTCTTATCATCAATAATATTGACAACAAAAGTTGACAAATAATGTTGACAGCACGAAAAATATGTCAATAAATCCCAAACCATGAATTAGTGTAAAAGTAATCAATATTAAGATTAGTATATATATATATATATATATATATATATATATATATATATATATATATATATATATATATATATATACATAATAATCAGTTACATATAATATGGAGTATATTAATACTATATACTAGACACCTAACGGCGGACCAATCCCCATTTTACAAATTATGAACCTGTCGATTCAGTTGTACTTCTCGTTGTTCAAATTATACACTTGTAATTAACATGTATTCTGTAGTTCAGATATTATTATTTTTATCAGTATAAAATAAACGGAACAAATTTTCTTTTATTCTAATTATACTTCGGACAAATTTTTAACTTCTTTAAAAATCTATATTTAACATCGCGCCTTATTGGCAATTTATATTATTATAGTATAGGAGAAATAATTATAGCGATAAGATCCGCCGACTTAATCTGTCCCAGTTTAGAAGCATTTAGATCGACTGTATGTAAAAAAAAAAACTGGATGTGTGATTAGCTAACGCTCTCCGTTATAGTCCGTGGTACAGAGCCCTTTTTATCGAATTATTAACATCCGCCTGAAACTTCGTAAATAGTTTAATCTCATCATAAGCTACAACTATTTTATTTACGAAAACTTTTGGAATTGGGGCGTTTTCGATGTAGAATAGGACAAACTTTGTCTATTTAATTGGGTACTAAAAACTCGTAAATACACAATTTTCTTTCTGCTTGGATCGTAAGATAATTTGGTCAACAAATAAATAAAAAAGGTTGCCTCCAAAAATATTGGGCCGTTTGTCCTATATAACCTCGTTATTTTAACAATTTGGGGATGTAGGTCACGCCAAATGGCTTATGATGAGATTGTGATTATGATGAGTTGTGGGTTATGATGAGATGAAACTATTTACGAAGTTTCAGCCAGATGGTAATAATTCGATAAAAAGAGCTCTGTACCACGGGCCATTATATTTCTAGTACAAACCCGAATTCGAGGCTTTGTTAAATAACATAAATGAGATTTGACTATAAAATCCCTTGAAATTTAAATTAAATGGAGTCCCACATTGAAATATTACTCATAGTCCGTCCTAAAAACCACTTTTTATCAAATTATTAACATTCGCTTAAAACTTCGTGAATAGCTTCATCTTTTCGTAATCTACAATTGTTTTATTTACGAGTTCTTGGAATTGGGTTGTTTTCAATCTTGAGATCGACAAAGTCAGTCTATTTAATTAGGTACTGAAAAACTCATAACACCCATTTACTTTCCACTTGAATGGTAAGATAATTTTATCAGAAAAAAAAAAAAAAATGTTGCCCTGAAAAAGTATTGGGTCGTTTGGCGTGACCTCCACCTCTAACATTTCATAATAACGAGGTCATACAGGCCCAATATTTTTATAGGACCTCGCTTTTCTCGATTTTATTATAAAATTATCTTACCATCCAAGTGGAAAGTAAATGAGTATTTATGAGTTTTTAGTGCCTCATTAAAATAATTATTTAACGAGAAAACGCTCCTTTTCCCAGAATATTCTTGGATAAAAAATTCGTATGTTACGATAAGATGAAGCGATGGATTATAAGATATTAGTGGATGTTTCACGGATCACGGACTTTTCATAACTGTCGTTTACGAATCGGATATTGCTAGTTTTCTCTCGCATACGAGTACGTCCTGCGAAAATTAAAACTGTCAATTTGCACCTTTTGCCAAATAAATAGAACTGTAAAGAACATACTATTAGAATGTACTCTTAGCGTTAGCGGATTCAGGATTTAATTTTGGAGGATTTCAGCCCAAAAGTTTCTTTTCTTTTCATATATATATAACGATAGTTAATTTGGAAAAAACAATTAACTGCCTATATGAAATGGTTTTTAAGTGATTCTTAAAATCCTATCAAATGTAATTACCCGGACAATAACACTTAAAGAGATAGTTTTTTATATATTTTTTCTACAAAACATGGTTATATTTTACCAATTTTGGGGAGAGGAAGGGGTCCTTCAGCCCGAATCCCTCCCCCAAGATCCGCCTGTGGCCCTCATGGAAAATTTAGAAATGGGGACGACAATGGAAGAAATCCTCAAGGTTGGAGAAACATAAATAGAAAAAACTATTCAAATATCTGAAAATAGTTCAATTCTATCATAGTTCTCTAAAATTGTTATTGTCGATACAATTTTACTTACTATCAAATCTGCAAATCACTACTTTTCAGGAAACGAAAAAAAAAAAACATGTAATATCAAATACAATTCATCCCTAACAAAGAGGATGTTTTGATTTCCACACCAATTTGTGCTTTCATGAATTTTGAAGATTTTTTATTCGCTGTATTTAAAATATTCAGTTATAAATAATTAAATACACTTTCAGTACATTGCATTCGTGGTTTGAACTATGAATTCTTCACTTTGAATATGGTATACTCGCTAATTTGCATTGCACAATTAGAGACTGCTCAGTAAATAATTGTCAACGCAAAGTAAAGAATATGTCAGATTCAAAAAAAAAAAAAATCGTATCATAAAGCTGAAAAATAAAACTACTTCAAATAATCGGAAATGACGTATTCTATGTTTTGCAATGAATAGAACCATCTTCTCTGCAGATACAAACAGATCAAAGAATGTGACATATTCAATAGTTATGTTAAAAATTTTAATCGCAACATCGTGAAAATCGTATTCAATACTTAGCCATAGAACATAAATAAACAAACGCATTTTCAATCCATTGCAATTGCTCTTTCTGTACTTTCCAAAGGCAATTCGGGTCATAGACTTTGTCACTGTGCGCATCGTTTCTGAAGTAATCGCTAGAGTGCAGAATTGAAAATCTCAATTTTTCATATAGTTAGATAGTTAGCATTATGTATCGGCGATATCAAAAACGCCGATAACGCTTAGGGGTAGAGGCGAATAAATAAATGAATAAAAAATTCATAAAAAACAAGAATCATGAAACAAC